CAGGAGACTCGTGTCAGGCAGTAACAAGTGAAGTATAAAAAAAATAATTGAATTGGCTAGTCGTTTTTTAATTAATTTTTATGGTCATTACTAATATATAACTGATGGCTAGCTGCATGATCTGGCTACACATATGAAGTTGAAGCATTATCACTTCCTATAGTTAATTAATAGAAAAAAAAAATATATATATATATATATATATGTTATCAGTTTAATGGAGACACGATATTGTCAAATAATTAAAAAAAAAAAAAAATCCAGTGAAGTGGGTAGATACCATACATATTCACGTGGTTGTCTGCATATATATATTCAATGGACTCACAATTCCACTGAAGTTTTTTCTTACCAAATATAGTGCATTAATGTAAGTACGACTTGAGGTAAAAAGTAAGATTGAGATCTCTTGTGCTTCTTTCAAGTTATGATGATTATGGATTGAATTTATCATTCCTGTTGAAAAAATATACTGCAAAACTTTGCGGTGTTTTTTTCCACATATAATAGTATCAGTTATCAGGTACATGGTACCATTATTGGACCAGTATCCTCTCTTGAATTGAGATTAGATTTGAGCTTTTAAAGGTTTGTAATTGACAATTACAGAATAGACAAATATATCTAAACTATATACGCATAAACATGTACAAATATATGAGATCTTTAAAATCTCAAGTGGTGAACTTAGATCAGGATAGGACCCTGATCCAAATTTTACTGTGTTCAGTCCAATGCATAAGATGAACATTAATTAGTATGTATTTACACACACACTGTTACTGCAGGTGAAAGCTGAAACCACTAATTATTAGACAAGAATGACTACATATATTCTAAAGAATTCATCAACCTGATATGTACAAATTTCATCATATGCTAGCTACACCAAGAGAAGCAAGATCCAAGATGAGATTAAATTCTACGTGCATGACTTCACTTAGAGAGAATCATCGATGTAGATTAACTCTTTCATAAAATCTTATATATATAAAACAGATAACGTCAATCAATATTAAAGTTTTGATGAGTTAAAAATGAAGGGACAATATCTAACTACATGTTACATAAAAAAATTAGCTTGAGAAAGTGTGTATGCGCACATGTAAAAAAGTGAGGAAGCGTGTGCGTGCGTGTGGAGAGAGAGAGAGAGAAAGAGAGATGTGGGTGGGCATTTTTTAGGGGTTGAGTTGACAGGTTGTGGATTCAGTGGAGCAATGGTGCATCAGGCACCCACCACACACTAGCGGAAACGGACCCACTACACACATTCATATTCATATACATGTATTATGCTTGCTACCAAATGCTCTGCCGTTAAATCAAGTTCCCCTCCGTACCCAGCACTTTCGTCACTTTTATGGTGCCTTCCTCCTCCTCCTGTCTCTGCATATTTTACCTATGCCTACATATTTAGACTAGGCCAAGAAGATAAGATAATAATACAAAGCATTTGTAACCCCATTTACATGATTCCTTGTTTTCTTTCTATCTTTTCTCGTTTTCTTTATTGGTAGGACCCTATCCATATTTACAACCTCCCACTCACATCATGATTTATCAAATCAATCCGTGTTCATGATCATCAATATCAGTTGTCAAAAATGTTAAAATAGCCTCCTTCTTAGACAGAACAAGAATCTGTATAGCTCGTTCTTTGATGCTCGGTAGCTTTTTCTGTCAAGTTGTATCACTTCAGAATATTAAAGATGGATACGCTTACCACCCAACATGCCCATAGAAATATATAAGTACTCTGGTAATTATATGGCAATAATATATTATCCTCGCTTTCATTCACCCTCAACATTTGAAAGGAAAGATATAGATTATCAAAGAGGTTCGTCCATATATAATTAAGTCAAAGGTCAAAGAATATGAAGAAACTTATAGATGAGACTGATCAATAATTAATATCCGAGAGATCAGGACAGAAATTTATGACGACATGACCAAATAAAACTGATAAATAAGACAATAACCAAGTGGGTTGCTACTTGTTGAATGTAGTCAAATAATTAGTGGTAGATCATCAATTGCTTACATTTTCTGCACCTGAATTATTTGAGGTTTGTGTTTGTGCATGATTTAGTCATTCACCAGCTTCCACAAATGGCACATACTAGGGCACCAACATATATGCCATCAAATTCTCAATGGCTTAGCTATCTCAATTATATGTGCATCTTTTTCCCTTCAAATTTTTGCTTTTGTGTCATCCATGTCTTGTACTGCAACTTACTTTCGAATCAGTGGATCTATCTTGTTGGTCTAAAAGCTGTAAAATTATAGATATTGCTACCAAAAGCAATTAGCTAGCTAGAGTTTACTTACTTTTTTTTTCACTTTTATGAAAAGAGTCATTCTTTTTTGAAAATTTATTAGTAAAAGCAAAAGCTTTCTTAATTATAGTCAGATGATTGAATTGATTATGATATATAACTTGGTAAACTTTTTATGTGAAAAAACTGTAAAATCAGGATATATAACTTGCATTCTTCTGAGTTTAATTCGGATTACTGAATATTATATAATTAACGCACAATCTTTATATAACTCCAGGGTGATTAATATTCAGCCTCTGAAAATAAGGGAGAAAAGACATTGAATTGCTTGCAAGATCCAACAATATATAATGCAAAACTAATAATATTAATTCTTGACCATGGAATCGAATATTTATTTAAAATAAAGCTCACAAAAGAAGAACAAGGCCTGGGAGCTAGCCTTGTATATGATATTATATCTGTTTTTATAATGGAAGTGACTTAATTTGAGAATTTTATTGTTAATTTTGTACTCGTTTTTAAAACAATCACAAGTGAGTATTTCCTACCTTAAAAGTTTTTTAGTTCATGTCTGTATGTCTTCTGGAGTTCGGGTATATCCAACCCATAATTTTTAATAAAAAATTGTTCTAAGGCACACAAGAATTTGAATTTCACTTGAAAACTTAATCCTATCGCGTTTCGAGAATGGAAACCATCACCTCAAGGGACAAGATGAATATTCTTAAAGATCTCATGAGAGTGGCACAAAAATTTAGCTTTATCACTTTCCTCCAATGGCCAACCCACAAGAAAGATTGTGAACTAAAAACTCTTTCTCTTGGTTGAGAAAATTACATAGAAAATTTAAGTTTATCTGTACCCAGTAGATATACATAGAGATTACAATTAAGTAAACGAAACCTATTAGTTAGTTAATTAGTCATTAATCACTCTTGTCATCATACTTTTAGTCATTCCTAATCCAGCAACCAATTCTTGACATTAGTTCTAAATTTAGATGGAAAATGAAACTTTAATTGGTTGATATTAGCAGCCTCTAGTAGTTTCATGGGAAGTCTTTTAATTAAATTTAATTAATAGTCTGAAGAAGTCATCTCACTCTTATCTAGTTTTCTTTAAAGTATTTAGAGGCTGCAGGGAACTTCAGTAGTGGGAAATCACCTAAACTGTACGATTACATATGCATTTCAGAATAAAATATTGAACTCCATTAATTAATACCACAAAACATTTGCGTCTGCAAGTTGCTGCCTCTTGAGATTTGTTCTTACTTTTTTTGATATAATTTTCTTTAATTAGTTATCTTCTACCTATTATATTACCCCAAGTGGGCCTTAAGAAGGTACAAGATTAGCAACAATATTATATTTAAGTAATCACGATCAAGAACTAATACGATAGATTGCTTATACTCTTGAATGAGCTACTGCCACTAATTCTTAGCATGTCAGATATTAAATACATATTCGAATGAGCTGCCTCGTGCTGATAAAGCATTAAAGAATCTTAAAAATAATATAACTTGCAAAATGCAGTAAATAATTCTCACACGATTGTAATATTCTGCATTAATGATCTTGATTCTTGTGTTGATTACTCAATAATTGTTCTATAACAGTGAAACCGAAATGCAGATTCAAATACCGATGTAAATATGCAACAGTTGATAAATCCATAAACTCAAAACTGGTATTTTAAAACCGTGAACGAATATAGAGTATGAAAAAAATATAAAAAAACAAAAGGGTATCTTGTAGTGTATTTTGACATCATGGGAGAGAGGAAACTGAAACTTGAAAATATAGATAAACTTTGAAAAAAAAAAAAATTATGGGTTGGTTTGTTTATCGCCACATGTTTAGCAAGGGAAAAAGTTATGGTGATGAAAATTTCCACACAAAAAGCTTCATAAAATAAGAGCACTTGAGTAAAGTAAATGCAGGGAGGAATTAAGTTAAGCCATGTATATTTTAATTAATATAATAATCAGAAGTCCACAAAGGAACTCGCATAGATGTTTCTTGCACGGTTTAGTTTAGTAAAAGGTGTTTTAAAACATTATGGATTTAGGTACTTGATGTTAACCATTTTAATTATGTATGTAATTGCAATCTCAAGGGTCCCTTTAATCTTAAAAATTTAACTAAGTGCTTAATGACTCATCTGTATTATAATAAATTTTATCATTGGAACTCAGTTTTATTTAAGAATTTTTTACCTTTTAGACTGAATTTCATAGCGTCATAAGGCACAAACCTTATAGTTTAATTGGTTGATAAAGTTTTGAATTTTTAATAGTAGTAATTGCTTCTGAAATTTGCTTGGTTTCTGATGGAGAAACTCTTTCAAGAGATTGACTTCAACTCCATTTCTCATTTGCCCTTTTATTTTTCTTCTTCTAAATCATTACATCCCACATCATCAAACTTTTTATTTTCTCTTGAAAGCATCATATCTTATGCCAAATAATGATCCAAATCGAAATTTCTATGATGCAAAGTTAGTGCATAAGATAAGAACATGCATCATATATATCATACATAAATATAAAAATACGCATACACGTGTCACAATCCCTGAGCTGGGTTGGAAATCAGCAGTGGATATTGGTTAATTAGAAGAGAATGATGCAAAGTGGAAGATACATAGATGCATATACCTAATCCACAACATGCTTATACATAAAATCAGAAGCATCATTGGTGGCATTTCCCATAATTGTTTAAACATCTTCACTGTTTCTCTTCAATTTGTTGCTTAAATTGGCCCACTTCCTTCGCGTTTTCACCCTATAAAATCCCCCCATTTCCCATACTGTCCTTCCTACAAACTCAATTCTCAACATTAATATTCTCTTGCAATCCTTGAAGCTTCTTATTTTCATTCTTAAAATTGGAGTCATGGTTCCAGGTGAGATCAGTGGGATACACTATCTAACACCAGAAAATCCAATTCCAATTCCTGCAAATTTTAGCATGATGCAAAGTAATATACCAAATTTTCATCTCAACATGCTATTGACCAACTTACCAAATTCTCTTATTCCTCCAGTACCAGTGCCAGTTCAAGTTCCAGGCTGTGACTTCACTTCACAGGCCTCAAGCCTCAGCAATAACTCATCAACTTCTGATGAAGTTGAGGAGCAGCAACTCAGAATCATCGATGAAAGGAAGCAGCGACGAATGATTTCCAACAGAGAATCTGCTCGGAGGTCAAGGATGCGTAAACAGAAGCACCTGGATGAGCTATGGTCTCAGGTGGTTCGTCTTCGAACTGAGAATCACAATCTCCTAGACAAGTTAAACCATGTATCAGAGTGCCATGAACGTGTGTTGCAAGAAAATGCTAGGCTCAAGGACGAAGCGTCTGATCTTCGCCAAATGCTGAGTGAACTGCAAATTGGGAGCCCTTACACTAATACTGCTTTCAGAGATCTTGAAGATCAGGTACCCTGTAATACAGCTCATCTGAGAGCTGAGTCCACAAATCAATCCCATACAAATTCAGTTAGCTTGCTTCATTGATGAGATGAAGGCTAGTTTTCGCAATAACCATCTGCTCTTCTATGTTCTTGTTGTTTGCTATGGTTGTCAATTAGGCTTTTGCCTTCTATTGAGATGTATGAAATGAGAAGTAGACCATGCAATAACAGCTTTAAACTATTTTATTCCAATTTCTATCCCATTCACATTAACATCAAATAATCCAAATAAAATCTTCTCGCCGCATATATATACATTATGGAGGTAGAGCTAAATATGTGAAAATGATATCATTGATAGTCCATTAGAGAAAAATCAAAGACTCAATAATGACTTTATCTGTTAATGATTTTGAGAATCCCACCAACTTTGATTATTCGTTTCCACCTGAAATATGGACATCAGAGAAAGAGAAAAACAGTATACAAATGAGACAAACAAAAAGAAAAGAAATTAATAATATTTTAGAATATTAAACTGAACGTATCACGCAGCTATAAGAGTAAGTAATTTTTGTTGTCAGGTGTTGTACTAAAAGAAAAAGATGAAGAACAGGTAATAATTTGCAGTGGTGGAGTTTGTGTGAACAGAGAGTTGAGAGTCACAGCAGAGAGGAGGCCCAGTGTTGCCCACAATGACAGAGGCAAGAGGACAAATGGTGGTGGAGGTGGTGGTGGTGGTGGTAGTGGCTCATCATACAAATAATTACTATAACAAGCAAAACATTTGAAAACCCCACCCACGCCCACTCAACACCCAAGTACTGTTTTTAACTTTTTATGAGGCCATCAATAATATTGCCTAACTTGCTTCCCCCAAGTTTCGCATATTGTTTTGTTTTCATCAATTTGGATGGCGCCACCCCGGAGCCTACCCTTCAGGTGCTCCTTAATGAAAAGTACCCTTCTTCTACTATCCAACTTGCAGCTGCATTACACACTTTTCCATTCTTAATTTCTCAAATTATCATTCTCATGTAACTGTACATCTTTTTCGACATGCTTGCATGCGTACAAATAAAATACAAACATTTTTCCTCAAGGATATGAAGTAACTAAAAGTTTACTGTCAGTTCTCAAAGATTAAAAAATACTTCTGAAACATATATTATTCTAACTTTAAACCCTGCAAAGATCAAATCTAAATCAGCATTTGACAGAATTTCTATTTTATGGAGTGATTGTATCATTCTCTTCCAAAGAATATATTCTTAGAGAATATATATCGGTAGCCACAACAGTCGCCTGTTACAGTTCTTTATAATCCAATAATTCAGATGACTTAATTTACAACTTACTGCTAAGTGCTAACTGCACTTTGCCTCTGTTATTCTGTAAAGTTCACAAAGTACTAAAACAAAAAGTAAGGCTACGCCGCTATGGTGAGGTTTTAGGGAATCTGCAGAAATTATTATAGAAATTTATGGGTTCTATAGATTAAGTGGTAGCAGAGGTGCAAGTATCATGTGTATAATTAGCATTATCAAAATATTTACTAGGTCTATTATAATAATTATAGTAAAGTCACTTTATTTCAAGATAATAAGAACATTTTTAAGTTTAATGACAAAAGTTGATGGGTTGTTTCTTAGAAGGATGTGGCCAACATTCTTATAAGATTGAAACAACATAACATAGAGAATATGAAGCTAGCAGAGCAATAAAAGATATAAACAATTGGTTTACAAGCCTTTTTTCAAGAATAAGGAGTCTGGTGATATGCATTAGTTACTGTATGGATTATAGTAAGGAGATTATTGAACAATAGTAGTCTCCTTCAAGTTCAAGATGAGTAAAGGATCATTTTTTTTGCTCAGGAATCCTTGTACAGTAATTTGCAGTAATCCTCAATAATCTGTTTTTATGTCCCGCACAACTTCATAGATTCGGTTCAAATTTAATGATCTAGTTACAACAATAACACTACTAGTAAGTTTTAAGTTTCTCACCTTATATTAAAAACAAAAATGGAACTCAAAAGTACCTGCAAAAGCAAAAACAATAAATAAATAAACAAACAGATTTTTTCCACCACAACAACTGCGATTTTGTATTTCTACTGTAATAAAGTATCAGAATGTGCGTACATTCTTCTCAAACCTTGTGGCAGGCCTCCAATGGGAACACGGCCACCGAACGGTGGCACAACTCCATCATCGTCGAATTCAATTTCAAAAGAACCCATGCAGTTTTCATCATTTGAACCATGAAAATCAAAGTTAAAAAGGTTTAAATTACTTCTTTTTTTTTATTTTTTTTTATTTTTTTTATTTTTAAAGGACAATATATGATATGAAATATGAAACACAGAAACAGACTGTTTTGACTGAAACAGAGAGAGGGAACGAGAAGGTTGGGTTAATTGAAACAAGAATAGAGTTCAAATTTCATTTGAGAAATCCTGTAAACTGGTTAGTGGAATCTAATTTCTCTCAGTAATCTTGCACACACAGTAAAATCGTTGTCATGAAACATTTTTAACTCTAATTTACTAATTTAGCTTTAGGGTTTTTTTTTTTTTTTTTTTTTGTCTTGTTTTTTTAACGTCAAAATGACTACAAATTTTAACTTAAATTGATCATTCTTTAATAATTGATTATAACTGTTTTATAATAAAATAAGCTATAAGAAGAGAGTAGATAATCGAGGGGAATAGAACCAATACTTTTCTTATTCCAAAGTTGAGTGTACATTATTTTTCACAATACATTTATTTATAGTCTTAAGATTATAAAATATTATAAATGAAATTAAAAGCTAATAAAATGCTTTAAAGTTGTAAAATTTGAAAGGTTTAAGAGTTAGAGAAGATGAAAGATTAGGAAGTTATAGAATTGCAAGAGACGTCCACATTTATTCATAACACTCCCCCTTGGATGTCTATTACACAAAGAATATATCTCGTTAAAACCTTACTAGGATAAAACTCAATAAACCTAGTGAAGGAAAAAGATAGTACATTATTCTTGTGTATTATACGCATTTAGAAACTGTCTCATTAAAAACCTTACCAGAAAAACCCAATAGGATAAAACCTTGGTCAAGGGAAAAAGAGTACAGTGCGTATTTAATCCCCCTCATAATGATATCACTTAAGATTTTTGTACTGACGCATTCCGATATTGTATACCAACTTCTCAAATGTTGCAGTCGGTAAAGTTTTAGTGAATAAGTCTACTATATTATCACATGAGTGAATCTATTTAACTTCAATATCGCCATTCTTTTGAAGATCATGAGTCAAGAAGAATTTTGGTGATATATGTTTTGTCCTATTACCTTTGATATAACCTCCCTTTAATTGAGTTATGCATGCAGTATTATCTTCATATAATGTTATAAGAACTTCTTTGTTGTAATCAATGCCACATGATTCTTGAAAATGTTGGGTTATTGATCTGAGCCAAACACATTCTCGGCTTGCTTCATGGATAGCTAATATCTCAGCATGGTTTAAAGAAGTAGCAGCTATAGTTTGTTTGGTAGAACGCCATGAAATAGCCGTACCTCCATATGTGAACAGTTTGAGATCTAGCTTTATGTATGTCAGATAAATATCCTGCATTTGCATAACCAATTAATTGAGGTGTAGATTCATTTGAATAAAATAAACCCATATCTATTGTTCCTTGAAGATATTGGAATATATGCTTAATTCCGTTCCAATGCCTTCATGTCGAAGCACAACTATATCTTGCTAACAAATTTACTGAAAATGCTATATCCAATCGTGTATTTTTAGCAAGATACATTAATGCACCTATTACACTTAGGTATGGTACTTCAAGACCAAGTACCTCTTATTTATCTTTTGCCGGTCAAAAAGGATCTGTGTTCACATCAAGTGATCTTACAACCATTGGGGTACTCAGTGGATGTGCTTTATCCATATAAAATCGTTTTAAGATTTTCTCAGTATAATTTGATTGATGCACAAAAATTCCACTTGTTAAGTGCTCAATTTGCAAACCAAGACAAAAATTTTGTTTTTCCAAGGTCTTTCATCTCAAATTCCATTTTTAGATAATCTGTTGCCCTTTGAATCTCTTCAGAAGTTCCAATAATATTCAAGTCATCAACATATACAACAATTATAACAAATTCAGATCAAGATCTTTTCATGAAAACACATGGGCAAATAGGATCATTTTTATAACCGTCTTTCAACAAATATTTACTAAGACAGTTATACCACATACGACTTGATTGCTTTAATCCATATAATGCAATTTAATTGAATAAAATTCTCGAGAATTTGAGTTGCATGCTTCAGGCATTTTAAATTCTTTAGGGATTTTCATATATATTCGTTATCAAGTGATCCATATAAATAGGCTATAACTACATCCATTAGACGCATATCAAGGGTTTTATTTGTTGCCAGACTAATAAGAAAACGAAATATTATTGCATCCATCACTGGAGAATATGTTTCTTCATAATCAATACCAGGTCTTTGTGAAAACCCTTTTGCCACAAGTCGTGCTTTATATCTTACGACTTCATTTTTCTCATTTCGTTTTTGCACAAATACCCATTTGTACCCCATAGGCATTACATCTTTAGTTGTTCGAACTACAGGTCCAAAAACTCCACGTTTTTCTAATGAATTCAATTCTACCTTGATTGAGTCTTTCCATTTTGGCCAATCTTTTCTCTGTCTACATTCTTCAACAGATTTGTGTTCAAGATCCTCATTATTATTTACAATTTCAAGAGCTATATTGTATGCAAAAATGTTGCCTCCTTGATGTAAACATCTTGGTCATTTGCTACTGTTTTCCTTCGAGGATTTTTATCTTTGGAACCAACTAGTCTACCACGCTTTAAACATGCCTTAGATTCATTTGCTACAGGTAATTGTCCTTCAAGGACATCAATCTGAATTGGAGCATTTGCAGCTAGTATGTGAGATTTAGTGACTATTTTTGAATCAGTGAATGCATTTGGCAACTGATTTGCTACATTTTGCAAATGAGTTATCTTTTGAACTTCTTGTTCATTGTTTAGAACAATGATCAAGATAAGATAATGACAACATTTTCCAGGTAATTTCCTTTTCCAATTGCCTATTCTCTCCCCCTAATGCTAGGAATTTTGTTTCATCAAAATGACAATCGGCAAATCGTGCCGTAAATATATCTCTTGTTAATGGTTCTAAATATTTAATTATAGAAGGAGATTCATATCCACTATAT